ACATTGCCCATTTTACTTTCATTTAGCTCAAGACAACATGCCTTGATTAAGGAGAGCATATAAATTTTTGTTGTTTGTTTTTGTTTTTGTCAGTTATGGGGCTTGAACTCAGGGCCTGGGCACTGTCCCTGCACCTCTTTGTGCTCAAGGTTAGCACTCTACCCCTAGAGCCACAGAGCCACTTCCTGTTTTTTCTTTTTTTTGGGAGGGGGGGAAGTCTGGTCATGGGGCCTGAACTCTGGGCCTGGGCGCTGTCCCTCAGCTCTTCAGCTCAAGGCTAGAAGCCCTGCCACTTGAGCCACAGCGCCACTTCTGGCTTTTTTTTCTTTTTGTTTATGTTCGAACCCAGGGCCTCAGGCATGCAAGGCAAGCGCTCTACCACTGAGCCACCTTCCCAGTGCCCCACTTCCTGTTTTTTGAGTGGTTAATTGGAGCTAAGAGTCTCACAGGAGTTTTCTGCCTGGGCTGGCTTCAAACTACAATCCTCATATTTCATCCTCCTGAGTAGTTAGGATTACAGGCATGAGCTACCAGCACCTGGTTTATGACTTTTGAAGGCAAGAAACAGAATTAAATTTTGTATCTTATTCTCCCCTGTATAAAACATCTAGTTTTCCAAACATATAAAAACTATACACATATACAAACTATACACATACCTACCCACAAAAACCAAGAAAAAAAATCATAAAAATGTATGGAGGGAGGCTGGGAAGGTGGGTCAGTGGTAGAGCGCTTGCCTTGCATGCCTGAGGCCTGGGTTCGATTCTTCAGCACCACATAAGCAAAAAGAAAAAAAAGCCGGAAGTGGTACTGTGGCTCAAGTGGTAGAGCGCTAGCCTTGAGCTGAAGAGCTGAGGTACAGCGCCCAGGCCCAGAGTTCAGGCCCCAAGACCAGACCCCCCCAAAAAAAAAATGTATGGAGGGATCTGGTAGAATAATTTTCTAGATGTTGAATCTAATAAAAAAATTGGGTTTAATTTTTATTGTGTAAAAAGCTCAATGGTACTGAAATCCAGTAGAACTAACACTGGCTAGAAGATTGGCTTATTTGTGGGTAGATCTAGTGACACTTCATCATTGGCTGTGTATGATGGCAATGATACTAAAGTTATATTTAAATAGCTCTTGTTATATTTTAAGTCATGAAATCATGTCATGGTTTGGGATCCCCTAGAAGTACCAGACCTCAGCGATTATTCCAGTAAGTACTAGTGGAGAGATGGGGAGTGGGGTCAGGGAAAAGAAGGAAGCCAAACAAAGTAGATTAACAGTATGAGTGACTGGAACTCAGTCCCACCCAGCGCTCCAAGAACAGTATAGTATAAAATAGGCTTCCCAATAGCACACGTTGAGAGGCAGGTGAAGAACTGTGAGTCAATTGTTCAGTGCTTCTGGGATGATGTTAACTCCTTGGTAGCTTCCAATCTACTTCAGTGTAAGCCAAGTGGGCTCCTGTGCATAGAGGGGCCCATCCGTGCAAAGACATGAAGGAACTTCCCGCTGAAAGTTGACTGCGACAAACAGATATAGCAAGTGCCAAAGGGGATGTTGCCAAAAGGATCAAACATACCTACCAACGGGTCAGTAGCACAGGTATGTTATCCCAATTTACAGATCAGGAAACTGAGGTACAGCTCTGTAATACCACCTTTGGCCACCTACTTTAGATCCATTCAGAGACCCTTCATCCTTCCTACCTCTGTAATCGGGTGATTGGCAGTCTTTGTGGCAGAGACTGGCTAGAGGCCAGTCACATTTCTTCTTCCTGAGGTCCCCAGTTGGATTCATTACCTAGTTACCCTTGTAGAATGGTGCGGCACACAACTAAGCTACAAATAGTGAGTAAAAGTTATCTGTAGTGTTTAGGCTTCTGAAGCTACAAAATGCTTTGCATTTATCCTTTGCATCCTTCACCTTTGGAGTGGGCTGGAATAGAGATGACCTCCAGGATAGTTACATCATGCTGATGAAAAGAAACCACCATCTCTGGATCATTATTGCTTAGTGGATGACCACTAAACCAGAAATGTGCTCTTAGTCACTATGGTTCTGAGGATCACCATAACCACCATTGCCCCAATGCCATACATATATGATCTAGTTGGCCTCATTATCACTATAATATGGATTTTGAACTTATAAGAGTAGGGACTTTGATTAGTATACTGCTGTATCTATAGTATCAGGAAAAATGCCTTCTCCCTAATAAACACTCAGTAAATAGTTATCCAAAGACTAAATTGTACATGGCTCCTAACAGGAACTTCATGTACCTTATCTCACTTCATCATTATAACCATATGAGGAATATGAAACTTAGGCTGGTTAATTTATCCAGTGGTACCCTGCCAGAAGGTGGAGTAGTGAGTACTGAAATCCAGGCAGTGCAACTCAAGCTTCAAATTCCTGAGCCTTCTGCACATTGTCCATCTGTGTCTATTTGCCAAGTGTATCACCAGGAGCTCGGCAACAGGACCAGAGACAGAGCAGCTGATCCTGAGACCTCCCTCACAGGTAACAATGAGCATTAGGGTTATATGCATTGAATAAAACAGAACAATTTCTCTTCTTGTCTAGGGAGAAGCTCATTCCTAGAAATGTTGAGCTCCATGCTTCACCAATTTGACCAAAGGCTCAACTGCGCAATCAGAAAACCCTCTTATGTAAAATGAGAGAATTGAGCAGACTATATGGAGAAATCCAGAGCTGCTTTGAACTCTTAAATCAAGGCAGAGAGAGTTACCAAAATGATCTGATCCCAGGGAGAAACAGTTAGAAGGGAAAGAGAATGCAAGAGCTAAGTTTAAGGGTGTGGGCTTCGTGACCAGACAGAAGTGGCATGAATTCATTTTGCCAGTTTCCAAATGTTATGATGTCAGGCAGATTAATTAACTTGTTGGGTTCATTTCTTCATTTGAGAAACTGGTGTAATAATAACTGCTTGCTAAGGCAAAGTGATTAGTGAATTGCACACTCAGAAAATTGTGGCTGGTATAGAGTGTAGTTTTTGATCCCTGGTGAGAATAAAGTCACAGTGGGTGCTAGAAAGGGTGTGGAGGGGAAAGCAATGCATTTCCGGTCCTTTCTCTCATCACTTCCATGTGCAGCCGCTAGAGGGCCATGGGTGACCTCTGCCCCCATTGGCATGTTTGAGTGGGCTGCTCAACAGGCCCTGGTAGATGACTACAAAGTGGGCTTTTTCCAGAGAGGCATAGGAGCAGACTGTTCAGAGAGAGACACTTGGGCAGCTTCCCAGGAGTCAGACATACAGGTCTGCAGGGTGCTGCTCCCTGAATTGGCCCTTATGCCCAAGAACCATTATGACCCATGGGCTGCTCTAGAGCCAGCCTGGCGTGCAGTGCTGAAGGAGAGGAGGGTCTTTTGATCTGATTTTGTAACCTTTTTAGCCCTTTAGTGCATTGGGCCTGAGAATTAGCTCATCTTAACAGAGGCAGCCTCTAGCTTAGTAACTAGTTCAACACATTTCCAGAGGCCATCCTGGTGATATATGGAAGACCACAGTGTTCCCAGTGAAGAGACTAGCAGACCTTTCCTGCTCCCAATTCAGTTCATTAGGTCAACAAGGTTGCAAATTAGAAGGCAAATAGCCCATGAAAAACACTTTTCTCATTAGTCATTCTCATAATAGTTATTTGTTAGATCCTTCATAACAACACTTCAAATATGGTTGCAGTCTCTCTGCTCACTTCACTAAAGATGAGAGTTTTCAGAAGATGCAAATCTCTTTACTAGTTGCTTTTCTCTTTCATTTTTCTTTTGTTCTGGTATTGGCTTGAACTCAGGACCTTGCCCTGTACCTTAGCTTTTTTTGCTCAAGGCTGATGTTCTACCACTTGTGGCACAGCTCTACTTTTCGTTTTTGGTAGTTAATTGGAGGTAAGAATCTCATGTTCTTTTCTGCCTGACTTTGCTTTGAACTGAGATCCTCAGATCTCAGCTTCCTGAATGGCTAGGATTACAGGTGTGAGTCATTAGTGCCTAGTTCCTTTTCTTACTCCTAGTGAATCATTATGCTCGAATTATAAAGATGCTGTAGGCTCTCTTCGAGGCTGAAGATCTTTCCCTGTCTTAACCCTGCTTTCCCATAGTACTTTATACTTAATCTAAACAAAGCACTTATCAGAAGTTCTTATTGGTGAACATTTTTGTGTCTCCTTCTTATTCAGTTAAGCTTTTTATGTGTGTCATGCTCAACCTCTGTTTGAATATACGTCCTGACCAGGAACACATCACCTCAAAAGTAGTACATTCCATTGCTAGCCAATTCTCTGGGCAAAAAATTGTTTTTCTAGCATTAGAAACCAAATCTGCTGCGCTGACATATGGACTCATTTATTTTCTCTCTGCTAGTTCAGTCTTTAACATTCTTCAGATGTGAATAAATACTCTCATCCCACAATTAGGCGCAAAACATAATATCCTATTCGTCATTAACAACAGGTGATTTATTCTAAAGTATGACTGATAAGGGCTTTCCCAAAGAACAGGCGTTTATCAGAACGTTAAGTGTGGAGTCAAGGGGATTAAAGATACCAAGATTATGACATTAAACTGTGATATAGTGGACCGACTACTGAGCTAGGAAATGTAAGGTTAGATCCAAGAAGGTTTATGTTTTCAGAGTCAGTATTCTCTTCTGGAAAAGGAATAATTCACATGTTGCACTTACTACTCAGAACTTTGTCTGGAAGTGGCCTCCTTCACACCTGAGATGTCTTAAGCTTTTGCTGTGACTTGCTTTTCTTAAGCTCTGGGTGGGCAAAAAGCCATGTATGTGTTAATGAACTTCTGTTATGTGGGGGCTGGGCAGACACTCTTGTGCCAATGATGTTATAATTTACACAAGCTACCATCTTGTCAGTCAATGGGCCTTTTATTCCCACCTGGGTTGAACTTTTCTTTCCCCTACCTCAAAGTCTTGCTTTTGTACCAGTTACTTATGGTATCAGTATCATAAATCACAGATGCAAGTAACATGTTTTAGTATGATTTTATTATATATTCTCTTTTCCTGGAGTTTTGCAAATAAAAGATTGCATAAGAATCAACTCTTTATTTGTCCTTACATCCTATCATCCCACAGAACCAGGTCACTCACCATTGCTTGATGGATGAGACCCAACGATTCAATAAATACTTTACAAAAATAATGCAAGTTTTCTTCTTTCTTAAACATAAAAAATTAAGATTTCCAAGACTTCATGCCCCCTCTCTCCATTTTCATATTTATTTACTGGGAATATATCCATGCAGATAAACTTAAAATATTTTTGAAAGAAAAATTGTCAGAATGAAAATAGATGATACTAGGTCCATATCATTTCCCCACTTTTTTTTTTCTCTTTGGAAAAGTGCTACTTATTGCTTTTCTGTCTGAACTTCTGCAGTCTTATGGACCTATTAACATGTAAGCAGAAATTCTACTATTTAGTAGACTTGTAGCATTGTATCAACATGGGGCTTTTATTATAAAGCCTACTTTGAACTGAGCCTCAGATTTAACTCCCCAAAATGCCTACCTCCCCACCTCCTGCCCAGTCTGAGGTCACAGAAGTTTGGAATCCAAGATGGCAGCAAGGTACCTCCAACTAAGTTTAAGGTGGGAATTTTCTCATCTGAACACATCTCCACTGTGTTATTTACTTTTTTAAGGAAATCATTGCAAAGTTCCTTTTCTCTTCCATTCCCTTTAGCCTTTCTTTTTGAACTCTCTCAGAAGTTGATTAGTTTCACGAGGACAACTCCAGAGAAAAGGTTAAGTTTTAAGTCACATTCATATTAAATAAGTTATATATAAAAACAGCTTATAATGTTTACAACTTCAGTCTCTTTCCTCCGTTGCTTCTCTTGGACACACTGAGTGGTGATGTAAACTGAGTCACACCCACCAAGGCACCCAGGACCCTTTTCTGGCTTCTTGGTTGTTCCCATCCTCTTGCCCACGGTAACTCCAGGATGACCTCTCTGGAGGTTTGTGAGCACTGGATATGGCAGCCCCCTGGGCCTGTGCACCCCCTTAGGAAATTTATAAAAATACAGATGTGGTCTATACAAATATACACATATGTGAATATAAAGAACTGGGCTACAGTTGGCAGATCAGTGCAGGGTGCTTGTGTCCCCAAACCAGACGTGGCATCTCTTCACCTCATCCCAGTCTCTTTAATACTCCCTGGCCTCTTGGAACTGTTTGATGTAGTCCTCATCTGAAGGGCTTTCTGCGCACTTCTGTCCGTTGTTGGGGGGCCGGGCTTCATTATACCTGCTCCAGTCACCCTTGCAGATAATCCAAGGCAGGACATCCACTTTGTAGTGGAGCTCTGCTGAGAACTCAGTACTGATGAGATTGGGCGTCCCCGCCCCTTTGCCCCTGGTGATGAGCTGCATGTTGTCGCCATAGCAACAGTGCTGGGCAGCCAGTGTGGTACTCTCTAGGGAAAGCATGGAGCGGATGCAGTATCGCGCTGTGGGTTTGTAGATCTCCAACTTCTCCTTGGGCCCGCTGGCATCCTTCCAGCGGAAGTCTTTGCGCTTGATCCTGTCAAAGATGTCTGCGGTACTGTAGGCCACCTCAGTGGGATAGGAGCAGGGACAACTAGGCAGGTCATTGATCACCTTGTGCATATATTTCTTTAAGAACTCACTTTTGCAGCTCATCCATCGCTCACAGCTATCTGTATCTGAAAAAGGATGAAAAGAAAAGTTAATAGCAAGAGTTTATTATATGAAAAACTGATGGCAGGAGGACATTGGAGTCAACAACCTCCCAGATCCTGCAAGGACCTGATAGTACTCAGCCATGAGGACTAGCCTTATCTCCTTTCAATCTGGAAATGTCTTCTTGGACACATATCCTCCCAATCCTCTACTTCATATTATTAACTATTTTCAGGCACACAAAAAAGCAAAGGCACTATACTTATCTAATGACTACCCAGATTCCATCACCTGGATTTAACTAGCATTATATTTTCCCTATTTGTGTCCATGATAACCCTGCCCCCCCCCAATCCAACCAACTAAACAAACAAAAAAGAAATTAGGCTAAGCTCATTCTTGTAATTCCAGCTACTCAGGAAGCTGAGAGCTGAGGATTATGGTTTGAAGCCATCCAGGTAGGAGAATCTGTGAGACTCCTATTTTCACTTGACTGCCAAAAAGCTAGAATTGGAGCTATGGCTCAAGTGGTAGAGCATTAGCATTGAGGCAAAGGAAAAGAAAAAGAAAAAAGAACAAGAAAAAGAAAAGCGCAGGGGTAGTGACGAGGCCCCAGGTTCAAGCCCCAGCATTGGCACAAAAACAAATGCTAAAGAACCTAGAATATTTTTTTCTAGATAACCAAAGCCTCTTTGAGAACCCTAACACAATGAACAATAATTCAGAACATGAGCATTTCAGATTCCAGTGAAAATCATTCTTTGGGAGACGATTAAAAACGTTACCAGCATGGAACAGGAAAATGAGACAGGAGAGGGAGATCGTCAATACATAGTCACTCTAGGTATGGGTAAAATAGGTGCAAGAGCAGGGGCTAGTCCCACTGTGGCTGGGAAAGCTGCAGGAAACCCTCTTTATAGTTTTCCCTTCAATGACAACATCAAACTTTACTAAATAACTTCATCCTGGAAAACAGCCATGGTGAAGAATGTTTCTCCCCACACCAGATACACACACACACACACACACACACACACACACACACTGAACTTTTGTATCCTTTTGTGTTCTTGAACAACGTTAACCATAAACAACGTTAACCTTTTGCTTTTCTTCGCTTAAAAATCATGAGCAGAATGATGTTCCCAACTGATGGATCAGAACAAAACACCACTTAACCAATTTTTGATAGGCTTCTCTCTTCATATACATTGAGTCTCATTCATAGCCTAGCTTCTCCTTAAGAGTCTCTTCTGGAAGTAGTAGCCTCTGGGCAAAAATTATGATTTACTCTTCTATTCCTCCACTGTTGTGGTTTGGATCTTTTTTTTTCTTAAAGTTTTTTTTTATCGTGAAAGTGCCCTACAGAGGGGTTACAATTACGTGAGCAGGGTAATGTGTACATTTCTTATCAAGATATCTGCCACAGGTCCTCATGTGGAAGGTTTGCACTGTTGGAAGAGGTAGTGTTAGTATAAACAGCTAAGCAGATGGATCAGGAACTAGGAAAGCTCTGGGCTACAAAAAGCCACTCTAAAATCCCAGATGGCTCATACTCTGGACCAATGATTAAGACAATCGTTGGACATTTTCTTTATGGAGCACATTCACTATATCAATTTCAGGCATGTTTAATAAACGATAACCTTCCACTGATAGGGATAAATTTGGAGGAGTAAAGAGGATCAAATACACAAGCGCCTACCTTCATCCTGACTAAGGTCAGGGATAAGACATCACACATCTGAGAAGCAACTGCACAGTCATCAAACATTTCAGGAACCATAGCAGGGAAAGGTTCTAATTCTGTACCACCCTCCCTGAATTGGGTGATACAAATCTCTGACAGCTTCACTGCAATGGATCCTTATCTGAGCTTCCCACCTTATAGGCCTGGAAGTGTACTTTTGCTTTTCTCATAAATCATTCCCTAATATCATCTTATCCTCTGTGGGAGCTTAACATACAAGCAGGGGTGGTTGCTTGTGGTGTGGCTGGTGGAAGGTAAGCATTCCATCTGCCTTAGTGAGTTATAGTGGATAAGAGGAGGCATATGTTAGGAAGCCAACCATGTAGGGTGTGTGTGTGTGTGTGTGTGTGTGTGTGTGTGTGTGTGTGTGTGTGTGTGTGTGTGTGTGTGAAAAGGTGGTAAATACAAAAAGTTGGTACTCATAAAAATGCATTTATGGTGGTGGGACACATCTGTATTCCAAGCATTGAAGAAGCGAGGCAGGAGGATCCTAAGTTTAAAGCCATCCTGAAATACATAGTGAGAACCTGTCTTAAAAAATGTGTTGCTGAGGGCTGGGAAGGTGGCTCAGTGGTAGAGCGTTTGCCTTGCATGCATGAGGCCCTGGGTTCGATTCCTCAGCACCACATAAGCAAAAAGAAAAAAAGCCGGGAAGTGGTGCTGTGGCTCAAGTGGTAGACCGCTAGCCTTGAGCTGAAGAGCTGAGGGGCAGTGCCCAGGCCCAGAGTTCAGGCCCCACGACCGGACCCCCCCCCCAAAAAATGTGTTGCTGGGCACCAGTGGCTCACGCCTGTAATCCTAGTTACTCAGGGGGCTGAGATCTGAGGATTATTGTTCAAAGCCAGCCTGGCCAGTAGAGTCCAGGAAACTCTTATCTCCAATTAACTATAAAAAAGTTGGAAGTGGAGAGGTGGCTTCAGTGCTAATGTTGAGCACAAAGGCTTAGGGATAGGTCCTTGGCCCAGAGGTCAAGCCCCAGGACCAAAAAAACAAAATGATGTGTTAAAAATGCTAGTCATTCACAAATCACAGACTAGGTTAAGGGGCACGTGGTTCCTGAGTCACCGAAGGTCTGTAAAGTGACCACACAGGGGTGTGTGTGTGTGTGTGTGTGTGTGTGTGTGTGTGTGTGTGTGTGTGTATGTGTATGTGTGTGAGAGAGAGAGAGAAAAAGAGAGAGAGAGAGAGAGAGAGAGAGCACTGAGTCTTGAACTCATGGTCTCTTAGCTTTTTTTACGCAAGGCTAGTGCTTTACCACTTGTACCACAGCTCCACTTCTGGCTTTTGGTAGTTAAGTGGAAATAAGAGTCTCATGGACTTTCTTGCCTAGGCTGACTTCAAATCATGATCCTCAGGTCTCAGCCTCTTGTAAGTAGATAGGTCTACTCAGTTTTTTCTTAAAGGAGTATAAAGTAGTAGCTCTTTTCTAAAGTTCGGGTGTAGAATAAGTGGGAGGTGATATGAAGTGCACAGACCCGTGTACAGAATCCTCATTCTGTACAGCTGAAGTAGGCTGAGGAACCTTTCAGCTCTGAGTTTCACGATTCTGCAACTGCAACCTCCTGTCACAATGAAAGTCCCAAGCTAGGCAGTGTCTAGGAAGCCTACAGGATCTCTCTGAGAGGGCAGCGTCTTTGGAGACAAAATTCCCAAGACCACAGATGGTGGCTTTGCATTTCCCACCTGAGGTGGGAGGTCACTACAGTTCATGTACCCACAAGACATCCATTGACTTGATTTTACAGTTTATTAAATTTGTGCAGCTTCTTCAGTGCATGGGCATGTTCTCAAGCTTTACAAATCGTAACTCATCGGAGTTCTGCGTATCTATGAGATGGTTACTACGTTGTGCCATTTTGTAAATCAAAATAACCTAAGGCCATTCTTCATCCAATAACTTGACCTTGTGAAAGTCAAGTTTTTCTCGTCTGCGATCTGCTCTTCTACATCCTCATCTCACATTGTTGTTCACCCTGGAAGGTTCATCTGTGTGGTCCATATCATGTTGACGCCTGACTTCTAGCTGGGTTGAACCGATGGCAGGATCTAGCAATAGGCCATCGTATTTACATCCTCAGCTCCTTTCTATCTGACTTCATCCTTCTGAGAACCAGGACTGCTGTCCCGTGGCCCTCCCTGTGGGCTCTGTTCCGGGCTTCCTTCTTGGTCCTCTCAGATGGGCAGTGGCAAGCGTGCCCCACCATTGCTAGTCTTGGTCTTCTGTACAACCCTTTCTTGGTTTCCATCCACCCTGCAAGCAGTCTTTTTACTCAGTGGTTCCTCAGTGTCTATTTGAGTGAGTCACATTCTTTTCTGCCTGGCCCTGATGGAAGCACATGTGTTCAGCCCTGTCATCCTCAGCCACACACTGGGAGTGGCCTTGTGCATCTGGATTCAGCCTCTGCAAAAGGCAAGAGGCTGCCTACCTCTGCAGCGTGATAGGAGGAGGCCTCATAGACCACCTTGGCTGCACTTCCATTTTACACAGAATTCGTGCCTTTCTTGTCTTTAAATGAAATGCTGGTAGAAGGCTCTGTTATATGCAATTTGTATGGCATGTATGAGGTGAGGAGTGAGGTAGAGACCTTAGTAATGTACCGTTTCCAAACTGCCTCCAGTTTGCCTCACAGACGTGTCTGGCTATCTTTATTTTCTAAAATAAATGTTTGTGAAGCATTGCAAAAATAGAGCTATTCTAGCAAAACCCTGACTTGTGTTCTCTTGGAAAACCAAAATGTCTGGCAGTACTGCGGGTCAAGTTATGGCTGACCCTTTTGGATGAAGCTTGAGGACTGCGTTTTGTCACAGTCCCCACCGCTCCCTAAGGCACCCTGATGTAGGTGATTAGGGGCTTGATTTCTTTTGCTGGCATCATTGTTTACATTCTTTGTTATGTAGTGTTAAAAATAGAATGTTCTATGTAGATCCTTGTTGGGCCCAGATAGTCCTTTAAGGAGTTCTACCTAGTTACATCACACATAACTATGAAATCCAGAGGGACCAAGGCCATTTCACTTTTGGATGAAGAGGCAGGGCAGAAGTAAAGGGGTTAAGATGGAATTTTAGGAGGCAGAAGGTATCTTAACCCCATGAACTTACTTTTTTTTTTAGGTAGCTTGTGAGTGGGGAGAGGAAAAAAGGTAGGCAAAGTCAGTCATAATATTGTATGTGAAAATGGAGCTAGGTAAATTGAGAGGATGAAAGGGAGGCCATTGATCAAGATCCATTGTACTCCTAAACTGACATGTTGACTTGAAACCTCTTGTACAGCTACTTACAGCTAAGAAAGAAAAAGAAAATAAAATAATTTGGGGCTGGGAAGGTGGCTCAGGGGTAGAGCGCTTGCCTTGCATGTATGAGGCCCTGGGTTCGATTCCTCAGCACCACATAAGCAAAAATTAAAAAAAGCCAGAAGTGGCACTGTGGCTCAAGTGGTAGAGCGCTAGCCTTGAGCTGAAGAGCTGAGGGACAGCGCCCAGGCCCAGAGTTCAGGCCCCACAGCCAGACCCAAAAAATAAAAATGAAAAAAAATAAAAATAAGTAATAAATACATAAAAAATAAAAGCAAGATTGCACTTGAGCAGGTGCTTTTGGTTTTATTTCTTCTGGCTCTTGTTTTTTGTGCTAGCACTTTCTAGAAGACAGGTAAGGAGTAGAGCAGAGTATTCCAAAAGTTTATGGGAAATTCTTGCAGGGAAGGAGAGTATGTAATATTAAGAAAATCTCCTCTTTCTCCCTTCTGTTCTTCTTGTGGAGAACCAATTTTACTGGGGATGCTGGGGGGGGGGCTCTCAGGGAGAATGGGCTCTACAAGGCTTGAGGTCCTCCATGGGTTGATCCTATGCAAAGGGAAGGGAGTGGCTCCTATCTGCCCTGCTGTGGAGCAGGTGCTCACCCAAGCGCATGGTTCAGTTTGCTGTGGGAGGGAGGGAACGAAGGAGAGCCTTGTTCTTTCTTGCTCTCGATATACTCAATGAACAAGAAATATGTTAGGGGAACTGGAACCCAGAGGAGTAAAATGAAATACTGCCTCAGATCCAAGGATGGCAATGCACAGGCACAAGGAATCTCTGAAGCGCTAAATCAATATTTGGATTGAAAAAAGAAAAAAAAAAATCTCCTTACCAACTTCAAACAGTCTGGTTGCATTGAACTCCTCGCTTCCCGCAAGCAGACTCACTTCGGTGGCTGCTGTCCTGAAAGTGTCTTCGATTCCTAAACACAGACAAGAGCACATTTTCCCCCCTTGGTTATATGGAAAAAAGCCACCCCTCCTCAAATCAAAGACAAATCCACTTAAACAAAGCTGCTTTTGTATTCATCCCTACTCGTGGGCAGAAACCTGCCAATAGAGGAAACAGTAAAAAGCAGGTAGTAGTGTATAAAATATATTAAAACTCCAGATACCATTTGCAGCATGAAATCAGATCCAAATGTGCCTGAATGAATTCCTCAGGATCTCACTCACTCAGCCTTAGAATGAGGATTGGGTAGTATGGGTGGGGGGGAGGGGAGAGAGGAAATGCATATCAGGGTTGCTGACTGTTGGCATCAGAGAAACTAAACCAGACACAGTAGAACTAGTAATAGTTTGTCTTCAGTGACTGGCTGACATTTAAATCAATATTAGCTATGCAAAGCTGGCCAAGCCATTTCATCTTTGTGTGCCTTGGTTTTCACATCTCAAAAATGGGAAGAACTATGTGATACTTCCTCCCCCACAGAGGTGAATGAGTGAAACCAACTATGTGTAAAGTAAGCATTAAGAGCAGCTCTCATTTCTTCATTTATTAGTTACCTAGCTCTGTCTCAGCATGCAATAGGCCAATGCCAAAGACCAAACATCTCATGTTCTAGAGCTTTTAACCTTTTAGATGCTTCAGAAGCAGGTTATTTGTCACTTGCTCTAAGGAATTGAGCTTAGCTTGCCTCAAATTTCCCAGCTTCCCCAAGCTCCCCCCTCAAAACAAATAGTGACTGCATGGTTTCCTTTACAAACAAGGGCTTAGTGTAAGCTAAGAAGAGGAAGGAGTGAGGGACCATGGGACTTTGGTTGGTGAGCCCTGGTTTCCTTTCTGGGCATGTCTTGATTTCCAGGAGCTCCCTTTGATTTTGTGTGAGGCTCCTCAAAACATATTCACAGGGATGACGCAGGAGACATAATTTTGCCCTGTAATAACTATGAGGCCAGGATTCTTTTTGGCAAAGCTGAGAATTAACAAATCAGAGATCTTGCAAAAGGAAATATCCCTGCTCCAAAGGAAGCCTGTAAAGCTGGAAGGAATGGGAGTGGAAAGGCAGAAAGGATGGAAGGAGACCAAGACAGATGAGTAGAACACACATGGCCAGGGCTCTTGTTCATGTTGTTCTCAGCAGTGTCTTCCCCCTCCCTCCTTCCCCCCTGCCAAATCCCATTCAAAATGGTGGCAGAGAGCTTTTCCTGACAGGAAATCGAAATCCAGGCCAGGAGTCTAGATCTGGAAGAGAACCAAACCAATCCCCACACCCCCTATAGCAAGGAACTTTTTTTTTTTTTTTTTTTTTTTGCCAAGGACCATTTGGCAAAATGGCCCTACAAAATTATCAATACAGGCAGATGGGCAGAGGGCAGCCAATAAAAAACATAAATGTCTGTCCTGTCAATCCAAATGATTTTCAGGGCTGTATATGGCTTTCATCTGGGTTAGTCCTTACCTCTAAATACATGTCTACACCCATGTGTGCCTAATACTAATACGTTTGTACCTGATAGAGGTAGAAGAGTTTAATGGTTTCGAACGTGGATTCTGGGGGGTTAAAATCCTAAAATCGGCTTGCATTCACATCCCATAGTAATAATTTATTGCTGGCCTATTGTCTCAGTTTCCACAGAAGCTGAGTGGAATAATAAATTCCTAATTCTTGAGGTTATTGTGAGGATTCAATGAAATAATACATACAAAAGTTATGAGAAGTTGCTTCCTAGTACTCAAAAACCTTTATTCTTTACCATATTTTCCATGTTTTTCTTTTGAACTCCTTCATCTTCATCTTTTGAATCTCTTCCTGTCCCTCCCTCCTTCCTTCCTTCCTTCTTTCCCTCCCCCCTCCCTCCTTCCCTTCCTCTATCCTTTCTTCCCACTCTCCTCTCTGTCCTTCTTTCTTTCCCTCCCTAACTCCCTCCTTCCTTCTTTCCTTCCTTCCTTCCCTCCCTTCCTCCCTCCTTCTCTTCTTCCTTCCATCCTTCCTGCTCTTCCTCCTTCCTTCTCTCCTACCCTCCTTCTATCCTTCTTTCCTTCTTTCCCTCCCTACCTCTTTCCCTCCCTCCCTCTTTCCCTATCTCTCCATTCCTCCTTCCTTCCCTTCCTCCCTCTCTCCCTCCCTCCCCCTTCCTTCCTTCCTTCCTTCCTTCCTTCCTTCCTTCCTTCCTTCCTTCCTTCCTTCCTTCCTTCCTCCCTCCCTCCCCTCCCTCCCTCCCTCCCTCCCTCCCTCCCTCCCTCCCTCCCTCCCTCCCTTCCTTCCTTCCTTCCTTCCTTCCTTCCTTCCTTCCCTCCTTTCTTCCTGTCTATGAATCAAATCCAAGATTTCATATATGCTATATAGAATTCCACACAGATCTGCACACCCAGGTAGTATTTTCTTTTGCTTCACATCATCTTCTTGATACATTTCTTCATAATTAGTATCTTCTTCCTTGATGAGCTTTCTATCCTTTCTTCCTCCTCCTCATGCTCTTATTTGTTAGTTTGTTCTTACCCATCTAAATCCCACTGATAAGACTTCCAACTTAGTTCATCACAATGAGCACTGGAAAGATCAAAGAAAGCATCTTGGTAGTTGCTCCACACTTTAGAAATCTTCATGGCTGACACAAAGCCAGGAACCACCACTTCTTCGATTTCAGCCCTATTTTCTATGCATGCCCTTTAGCTGGCATACACATTCATTGGGGCCAATAATTCTTCTCTCCTCAGAAACTTCTTTGTGCTTCAACTTCTATTTTGTTCCACATGTCTTCGGTTTGAGAATAGAATGTCTAGGGGTAGAAAAAGGAAGTCTGGGGTGTGGGGATCAGATTTTCTGTCTCTGAAATTTCTTTCAAATGAAACCCTTTGAAATGTGTGGTTTCTTGAAAAGGCCTAAGATATTATTGTAGGCTGGATTCTAGACTCTACCTGGAAATGAGAACACTTGGTAAAACTATAGACCAGGAGTTGATAAGCTTTTATGTAAAAGGTCAGAGGGTACATAGTTTAGGCTTTATGGGCTACTAATGATCTTGATTGCCTTTCTGCTTGTCTGCCTCCTCCTTCTCTTCCTCTTCTCTGTGCAACTCTTTATAAAAATGTATAAGCCACATACAGATAGGTCACAGGTTAGACTTGGCCCACTCCCCATAGCTCGACAAACTATTAAGAGTAAGTCACAATTATTCTCTGTTGATATGATCTCTCACAAAACTGGCAATAAGTTTAATTTAGAAAGTACTGACAAGGGCTGGGAAGGTGGCTTAGTGGTAGAGTGCTTGCCTTGCATGCATGAAGCTCTAAGTTCGCTTCCTCAGTATCACATAAACAGAAAAAGCCAGAAGAGATGCTGTGGCTCAAGTGGTAGAGTGCTAACCTTGAGCAAAAGAAGCTCAGGGACAGTGCCCAGACCCTGAGAGTTCAAGCCCCAGGGCTGGCAAAAAAAGGTACTGACAATGCAGCATAAAACCATAACTGAATGCTAAGTTGTTGCCCCAGTGTTGCTCCCTGCCGACCTTGGGCACTTATCCCTCGGGATAAGTGTGGTGTTTGTTCAGCTAGCCATTGACTCATTCATGTAGGTTTTCCTGTCAGACCATAAGTGTCTGTTTTTGCGTGTGTCTCTTAAAGTCTCAACAAATCCCACATCTGATTAAGCAGGTTCAACATCCTTCTGGTCTCATGAGCGGTAAGATGAAGAAAACCCATCAAATCAACCCATGAAATTTATTGTCTCTTGTCTCGGACAGGTCAGAAGTCTCATCAGGAAAATGGTTTTAAAAAGTCAGTTTGAGGCAGATGGGGAGAGAATGACGGAAGGAGGGGTATTGATCTAGATGCACTGTATGCATAAATTGACATGTGGAACTGAAACTCCTTTGTACAACTACTTAAAGGTAGTTTATAAAATGAAAAGCAATTTGAAAAGAAAAAGAACACTTCCCTCAGTTTTTAAATATAAGTGAAAAATCTTTTCTTTGAAGTGGGAGCTACAGCCCTGAGAAAACTCACCTGGGCAGTTTGGACGGTCGCAGGTCCTGGATTCTGTTGCTGTGCACGCGTAGCCGCAGGACCGGGTGCGCTTCTGGTTACCATTCCCACAGGTGACGCTGCAGACAGACCACAGACTCCAGTCACCCTCACCATCCGTGGAATCTGGAAGGGAGCCAGGGAGATGGTCACCAAAGAGTCTAAGTGTTCTGCTCCCCACACCCCTGCCCAAAGAGTTCTGCCTCAGGAGTCACAGCTCAGAAAGGTTCCATCCCGAGCGCCGCTATCAAGTAGCCCTCTGCTTGTCCACCTCCATTGTCCTCACTGTCAGAGGGGACAAGGTGATAGCTGGAGAGACCAGGTTTGCAGACCCTAGGCATACTTTCAGGACCCAGCTCTGTGAAGATAGAGACGCTTAGGGCACAATGATGATTGGTACCTGGCTAGGATCTGATGTGCCCAGGAAATGCTTATTGAGAATGTACATAGACTGCAGAGAGTCAGGTCATGGAATAACATACTAGGCAGTCTCCAAAGAGAACCACCATCTTTGGATGAAGGTTGAAAAGGGGTAGGCTACCTTTGTCTTATGGCCTGACAGCTTCCAGTTTTTGCTCAAGGAAATCTAGTCACTGTGAGAGAAGCATAATCTAAACCTTTGAATTACAGGATACCACCTGGAAGAGGAGATCCTCATGAAGGACCACAAGGACATTGGATGAAAGGATGAAGTTTTCCAAGTGGAAGTTGAAGGCAGCTGATGACATTAGGAGTACGTAGACTTTCCAGTAACCTTATTTGGACCCTTAAGTCAGGAAATTTTGAAAAATAAAACAAAACTGCTCTGTGTGTGTGTGTGTGTGTGTGTGTGCGCGCGCGCGTGCACTAGTCCTGGGGCTTGAACTCAGGGCCTGAGTGCTTTCCCTGAGCTTTTCTTTTTTTTTTTTTTTTTTGCTCAAGGCTAGTCTCTGTCATTTGAGCCACAGCTCTGGCTTTTTGGTGGTTAATTGGAGGTAAGAGTCTCAAGGACTTTCCTGCCTAGGCTGGCTTTGAACTACTATCTGTGGTTAGGATTATAGGCATGAGCCACTGGTATCACAGGCATATATTGCTGTTTTCAGACATATAGTTCAAAATGCTTTGTTATGTATTGGTAGGAAACTGATATATTAATGGTAAAACTAGAAATGTCTTTTGAAGTAATTATTCAATATTCATCCAATATTCATTGAGCTCGCATTGTATGTTAAACACATTAAAAAAATTGATATACTTTGTAAATTTGTTTTTTCTTTAAGTAGTTGTACAAAGGGGTTGCAATTCAACTCTCCCAACTCCATCCATCCCCTTGATTTACCTAGTTCCACTTTCATATATACATTGAATATTATGAATTCATTTGCCCACCTTTTCTCTGTACACACAATTCACATATATATCATTAAAAGAAATTCTCAGAATAAGAAAGTGGAGTCAAAACAATGCATGTGCTGGGTGCTGGTGGCTCATGCTTGTAATCCTAGCTACTCAGGAGGCTGAGATTTGAGGATTGAGGCTCAAAGCCAGCCCAGGCAGGAACGTCCATGAGACTCTTATCTCCAAGTAACCACCAGAAAACCAAAAGTGGCCCTGTGGCTCAAAGTGGTGGAGCACTCTCCTTGAGCTGAAGAGCTCAGGGACAGCGCCCAGGCCCTGAGTTCAAGCCCATGGCTGACAAAAAAAAAAGAGCATGCACAAAATGAGTAACTTACAGAATATGTGAGATGTTGGTGAATGAGGTGGTAGACCAGGACTGGAGGGTGGCGGTGGGAGATGAGTGGGAGAGATTGGAGCAATGTGAAGACTGACTTCCTCTTAGCAGAAGTAAGAAGTCCTGGAGGGGTGGATGGGGGAGGGCCTTGTACAAGGCCACCAGGAAGCTCAGGCTCTAGCACAAAGCCCTTAATCTCTAAAGCAAGACTTTTTCTTCAGCACCTCCACTCTTTTATAATCTCTCCAGATTGATGCCATCTTCCAATAGCCTCGGGGCCTCTGTTGGTGCCAAGTATGAGGTCCATAGGCATGTGCCTTGTAGGATAGGGGTATTCTCCATTCATAACAGGTTGAGGTGGTTGTTATTATGTAGGCCCAGAAAGAATGTTATCCACACGTTTCCACCTGAACCGTAGGCTCTGTGCCAGCCTCCCGGGCTGTTGTTTACATGGCATCCACTCTGAATTCTCTTTGGGCAAGGCCTGGGTTGCTAAGCCTTCTCTGCACACTATGCAGAATTGGAGTCAGGGAGATACTTCCTGCTTGTGTCTTCATTGCTAAGTCTGAACGGAGAGTTTGCTCATACCTCATTTGCCCCTAGGGACTCTGTTTTATTTTCCTTAAAAAATAAAATTTGAACTTCAGCTGTTAAAAACTACTGCATCATGTAAGGGAACTAGGCTTCCTCCTCCTCCTACTGCATCATGTAAGGGAACTAGGCTTCTTCCTCCTCTTACTAGCCTCCATCTTGTAGGACCAGAGATACAAATGGCTTCCCAAGGGAAAAACCATCAAGGTGGGTAACCTACTAATCCCTAATTTTGACATCTATTATCTTGTGATAATCTTCCCCTCCTGCCCCACCCTTCCCACATACCATAGATGTACTTGAAACAATCACAGAGTTGCAAGTTTGATGGCGAGAGCATCTAAGTACTGTGCATTAAACCACATGTACTCACCCTCCATCCCATTATACACCCATCAGTGGGGCTAGATTTTATTTAAAGGAACAATATCCCTGCAAGAAGTCTGAAGTTTTATGCTCCTAAAATGGGGAAGTGGGAATTTTTAAAACTTACTAATTTATAGTAGAACTCATCTCATTTAGAATGAGACGTAATCCAATTATGCTTGGCTTTATCAATGCAATGGGGCCTCAACCATCTGAAATCTCTTGCAGCATTTCCTTCCCATTACAGTTACAAAGAAACTCATTATAAGACACATGAGAATTTTTGTATGAGGTTGACTTCTTGCTTTGATTTTGTGCATTTAAATGATTAAATGTGAATATGGTATCAGATTACATAGAAAAATATAATGTCCCATAATTTCTCTCTTCATATTCACTCTCTTGGTTACTTATTTCTTGCTGACTTCTTTTGGCCAATGGGAATGTAATGATATAGAGGTCTGGAAAATGCTAGTACTTTAAGACTTGTCCCTCCTCCAGGTGTAAGGAAATTTTGCACCGCCTAGTGAAGAGCATCTTGGAAGAGTAAAGACCTGGAAAAGAGAAGCTCCAGCCACCTCAGCATCCCTAACTCTCTAGGTGAGGATTGCAAATGAGGCCACTAGAGACCATCCTGACCACCAGGCCAGCTCGGCCCAGATGAACAGTCCAGACTATCCACAGACGAACATGTGAGAGCCCATCTGTTCACCAAATGCAGGGCTGCTTCTTGCTCAGGAAGCACTCTCCTACCTCTGTTTTCTGTGTAGTTGGAATTATAGGCCTATCCCACTGCAACGGGTCCTTGGTGACATTTCTTAAGCATCAAAAACGAACTCTTTAAAATATAACACAAAATCCTCTTCAAATATGTTCTCTAGATAGCTGCCACTTTCTGAGACTATCAAGGATTTATTACTATTGAATGGCTTTTCTCCATGTCTTTGTTTCCAAAGTAAACTTTTTTTTTTTAAAAAAGTAAAGGATTGCTTAGAATTAGTCATGAATGTCAGAAGCTCATGCCTATAATCCTAGATGCTCAGGAAGCCAACTTGGGCAGGAAAGTCTGTGGACTCAACTCCAATTAACCAACAAAAGTGGAAATTAGTCAGAAGTAGAGCTGTGGCTCAAGTAGTAGAACATGAGCCTTGGCCACACAAAAGCTAAAGGACATTGTCAGGCCCTAAATTCAAATCCTAGTACTGGCACACACAGCAAGAGTCCTTTGATTCTTTTTTTTTTTTTTCCTTTTGTTGGTCGTGGGGCCTGAACTCTGGCCTGGGCGCTGTCCCTCAGCTTTTCAGCTCAAGGTTAGCACTCTACCATTTGAGACACAGTGCCACTTCCAGCTTTTTCTGCTTATGTGATGCTGAGGAATTGAACCCAGGGCTTCATGCATGCAAGGCAAGCACTCTACCACTGAGCCACCTTCCCAGCCCAAGTCCCCTGATTTTTATACCCTTCTTAATCATGTTTATTGAAGTAGCAAAGAAAGCAAACAACATTGTAGGAAAAGAGATGTGTCATTTCACCCCCCTGAAGCCTCCTTCACTCACTGGTCTAGATAGGTCTCCTAGGGAAGGTCTTGGGGATTTTTTGTATGTTTCATGTGATGAAAGGTCAGAAAGAGGATTTTTGGCTGGATCAAAGCTTCAAGGGCAAGAGTCCTTTCTGCGATAATAAAACACATTGTTCTTATTCAGTCCCTGACAGGGAGTATGGCTCAGAGCAGAAAATGAGTGTCAACAGCAATAATCACGAAGATAATAATGACAAGAAGAAACAGTTCCTGGGAACATTTCTGCGATGTTTTGGCAGCGCCTTTGTGGGAAATCAAACAGTTCAAGAAGGGACGAAAATGTCCACCATGTACTACTAGGCTGAGAGCTGGATTTCAACAATGCCACTTGAAATGGTAGATCCATCATCTTACAGTGTCAGGGCAGTGACACACATCTGCCATCCCAGCCATGGTGAGAAGCCTAAACTAAGAGGATCACGGTCCATATGTGTGTCAGGGAAGAAGGCAAAATCATATTTCAAAAATAACTAAGCTGGAGCCTGTGGTTAATGCCTGTAATCCTAGCTACTCAGAAGACGAGATCTAAGGGTCACAGTTTGAAAACAGCCTAGGCAGGAAAGTCCATGAGGTTCTTAAACTTGAACTCAGGGCCTGGGTGCTGTCCCTGAGATTAAGTCCCATGACTATCAAAAAAAGCTAAAAATAGGGGTAGAAACATGGCTCAAGTGATACAGTGCCTGCCTAGCAAGTATGAGGTCCTGAATTCAAAGCCCAGTGTGACCCCCACCACCCAGAAAAAAAAAGAAAAGAAAAAGAAAATGCTGGCTACTTTCAAAGTAATTCCTCTTAGGAACAAATGAATTCAAGTTCCTCTGGGAATACTGAAGTTTTCACAAACTTGGCTAGAAGGAGTGGGGAATTCTCACTGCTCCACTAATAATTGACACACACACACACACACACACACACACACACACACACACACACACACACACACACACACACACTGGATAGATACATATCTCTATCTCTATCATGGTATTATTTTGCCCTCAGTTGATTTTCTCCCTTGGTCTTTAGGTTGGTGAGATCCTCTTTAGAAAGATTATACCTCTCTTGTGTTTACATACTTATCAGCTAGCATAATGACAACCACCAGGCAAGCTCTTTATAACTATTGGTTGAACAACTGAATGATGTGGCTGGAAAAAATGGCTTGCTGTTTTGGAACTTGCCTAGAATCTTCTATTAATATGTAGAAATGACTCCACAATACATAATTATCCAAGTGAGCTTGTAAGTGGTCTGAGTCTTCCTCCTCATGTACTTTTCACTCCTAGATCTGCTGATGAGAAAGCCATAAGTTCATCATGATAAGTGCATTTCTAAGAGATAAATGTTCTTAGAACACACTATCTGAATTTCCATGAAGGCTGTTGAGATTCTTGCTAAGTGTGTTTCCTCTCTCTCTTGGATACCCAAAATATACTCAAATATACTCCCCAGCCTCCCTCCTCTATAGGTATGACCTAACCAACAGAATTTGAGTAAACATGCTGTGTGTTATTACCAGGGCAAGTGTGTTAAGAGTATGTGTGCCCTCTCTGGGTCCCTCTTCTTCTTAGTTACCAGCTAGATGAAGAGCATCCATGGAATAATAGCTGGTAGAGTTCCAAGATGGAAGGAGGAGGCTGGATCCATGAGCGACTGAGTGGGCTTGACTTCCCCAACCTTTTGTTCTCTTATCTCAACTCAAGTCACTGAATTTTGATGCTTTTTTGTTACTTTACCTTTCTTAGCAACAGGGGAAGCTAGCAATTCCAATTTAGGATCTTAAACTTTATTTTCCTGTTTTTTTTTTTTTTTAAATTAGTATCTCTAGATAGCTGTGCATAGGGGTTTTGATTTAGTATGTTCGTTCAGGGGTACAATGTATCTTGATCAGTGTCACCCCTTCCATCATCCTCTATCCCCCCCCCCCCCCCCACTGCCTCAAGCTTCCTGGTTCCATTTTCATGTGTGCACACCCAATATTTTGACTGATTTCACCCATCCTTCCTCTCCATTCTTCTACCTGGGGAGGTCCTTCTTTGACAACCTGAGACATACGTGTTGACGGTAGATTCCCCTGGGCCACTCCACTGCCAATATCAAAGGGAACATGGTTGTCTGACCAAAGGAAGCAGCTGCGTACACCTCTTTTAAAAGTGATCTTTAATATGGATGTTTGTGGCAAAATACAAGAGTGATAACTTAATAATCCCTCCATTTTTGAGAAATACTACAAAAAAAATGGAGGGACAGAAGAGACAGAAAGAACCCAAAAGACCCTAAAAAATAATCTCTCCTCTGATAATTGGTATGATTTTCAAATTATAGTCTTTCCAGACTAAAATGTGGTTGCTGGTGCCTCCTTGGGACTACTGTGGACCAGATCCTTTATGAGGTATGTGTCACAGAAGACCAAAAGCCACATATTGTAAACTAGGTTTTGTTTGGCTCTGTGTCAGGCCTCATTATCTTCATTTACTCTCCCCACCAATTTTATAATATTGGGTGGTAAACTCACCATATTCTGGTTGCTCTTTGGTTTCAAAAGTCCGGTGGCCAGGGGCCGGACGATCCCACCCCCTGGGGGAGTTGAGGAAGTTGCTGTCATCTGAGGTACTGTCGTACTTGTAGTCCTGGTCCCCACTGTTTGCCCTCGCCAAGGACAAGGACCTCTGCCACCATGCCCTCCAGTCAGGGGATGGGACTGGCCAGCTTGGCTTATTCTCCGGATGTTGATCTTTTTCTACTTCAGAGTCTGGACCGTCGACCACCTCTATGGTGACCTGAAGAATTCAGAACAGGCCAGGGTCAATATGGAGTCAACAGCCTCCAAGCCGTGACCCTTAATAGTAAAGTCTGAGAGAGCTGAAGAAAAGGATGGTCGCATCCCTCAAGAAGGAAAGCTAACACTGCATGGTGATAGAGAATGGAAACATCCTAGAATAGCCCACATGAATTCTATGACTAGATGGAACATATGACCTTGGGCTGGGAGCCAACAAGGTATTACTGTCTATACTGTTGATAGCTAAGCTGCTGTGAAGCTTTTCATTCAAGAGGCAAACATGTACTATGTGTCCCTAAAGTGGTATAAGAATAATTATACTAAAACATAATTATTACTGAACGCTAAATGTATCAGGCACCATTTTAAGCGTTCTATCCATATGAGTTTATCTAATCCTCCTAGCAATTCCCTAAGATCTGTATGTGTGTGTCATACTTCTGATCAACAGTTGGAGTCCATTGCCCCTCACTTTTCACCTGTGATTCCCTTGTGACTCACTTGGTCCAGTTTAATGGGTAGGAGGCTAGGTTTTAGAGGATATACAAGCTTCTATTTTCTTTCTCTTGGAACATTCCCACCAGTATGTAAAGTAGCTCAGCCTGGATTATTGCACTTACAGAGATCATGTAAAGAGACAGCTTAAGTTGCGGAGATGTGAGGCATCTCAGTCAGGCCCCAGTCATGCTACTAGGGCATCTTGGATCCTTTACTTTGAGCTAAATTACCACCACCAGTGATACTATCTGGAACCAGATTTCTGACCCATAAGACAATGAATAATCCAATAGTCATGGATGCAAGCTAAGAAGTTTTGGGTTGTTGCTATATAGCAATGGATACCTTTTTATAACAAGGACATATATCAACACTAACAGCTTATCTAATGTCACAGGGTGAGTAATTGACAGAGATGTGGGGAGTCTGGCTCCAGAGACCATGATCTTACCAACTTGCTACATTACCTTCCAAAGAGTAGGTAACAGAAGTATGGTCCCTTCCTGAGCCTGAGGGAACAGAGAGGTAATAGGTAGGGTTCTTGAGGTAGTCCAGATGCCACAGGGTATGGAAAGATGTGAAACCCTTAAGAGCAGGCTTTCTCTGCTATGACTTTTCACTCTGCATAGTCCAGACCCAGACTCATGGTCAAAGCAGATGTTTCAGAGCTAAGGTTAGAACTTGTTCCTTGGAGTGGCAAAGCCTACTTTTGAAGTCTGTCATAAGGCTGGAAGAATGCAGCCTCTTGGCTTTCAGAGATAATCAACATAGAGAAACTTGTTTAAAAAAATGTAGTAAAAGACTCATTGGGTTCCTTTGGCCATCACATTGCTCTTGCAACACCCCTGGATGAATTACGTGCAAATGAATCAGAAACATGCGCTCCAAGTAATCAACGCAAGATGTACTGGGCAGATGCATTCTCAGTTTTGCCCTGACCTGACATCTGAAGCGATGCTAGATGCTCTGCCAAGTTACTCTGGGGAGTGCCCATCTCTGAGACAAACATCTTCCTTTTGTGGAACAGACAGGTTTGAGTCTTGCTCAGTTTGACACTTAAAGTAAGGTACCCAGTGAATAGTAATCCTAGGTTGTGGTTTCTTGAGTTCCAAGCCAGGGTCAAGAGAGTAGACTTCAATCCTGGAGTCTACTCAGACTGTGGCAGGCCAGATACATCTTTCTCCCGTGTTGTGGGATTCCCAGAAAAACATTATCCATTTTACCTCACATCACCACCATTACCCCAGTCTTGTTGGTGTCACTTGCATATTTGTAAATAACTTATGAAGCTTTCAATCAATCCTCCAAAATAACAAGTCTTGTATTATTGCTGTTTACTATGATGAATGATTATTGGAGAGTAATTATGACTGGGACCCACATGGAACTTTGGAAGGAGAAGGGGAGATAGAGTATAAGAGTATAGTGGTATGGGAACAGCCAGTGCCAGGAGAGGCAATAACGAGCCTTTGGAGACATAACCTTTCTCTGTGGCTCTGTCCCCTTCTGGCTACAGAGAACCACTGAACTGCTACAATCTTCTGCAAGGCTATTAAGGGTCTTGGAGGGGAGAGGCTGCCAAGAGCTAGGCAAGCCTGCAATTATGGTAATGAAATCAGTCTCTGAGTTGGAGATAAGGGAGAATGTGCCCAACAGCTTTGGTATTCCATTTGTATTCAGTCTGGAGTCAAAAGGATTGCTTAAACAAAAAACGTGCCCTGCAATTTCTCCAAGCTGGGAATAAAAACAATTCCATGTTTCAAGCTATTACCGTCAATACGATTTTTTTTTCCTTCCTAAATTGCTGCTCAGATCCAAACAAAATAGATTTCTTAGCTGGCCAGGCAATGAGTAGCAACATACAAATTTACTCCAAAAAAACGATATCAATGACTAAATCTCAACTGCTGAGAGGTTTCTTTTTCCCCTTTAATTTCTTGCCACTGCTCCAAATGAATCACAAAACAAAACAAAAAATAAACAAATCTTAGGACCCACCCTTCCCTACAGTTAACAATGTGGGAAGCTCATAATGTTATCAGAAGAAGCAATCTAATCTTGAAACTGAAATTTCATAGGCATCCAATTAAAAAGACTTAATGAGCACGATAAATGACTTCTCAAATGGTAGGGATTAGTTTTATATTTCCTGTTGTTCTCATTCTATTTACATGGGCTACCCCTCCGCTTTTTTTTTTTTCCTTTTCCCAAAGATGTCTGGAAGAGTAATCTATGTGTCAGAGCTGGATATGTGGACTGAACATGGGAAATTTCCAAGCTGACACTCTAGATCTCTCTAGATCTCTCTATCCTTTCTCATCTTTAATACATACATGTAATTGAATTATCTTGGTATACTTAATAAAAGAAAAGGAACTCTTGCAAAAGAAGGTCCAGGACCAGCTTCTGTCAGAATCTCCTCAAGCTCCTAAAATAGTGAATGTAAAGTCTGCCAATTTGGAGAATTCTGCCTAACATTAGATACCTTAGTCAGCTTTCTTTTCTTAATATTTAAAACTTACATATAAAGCAAACTTTTCACTGTTGTTCTGTAAAAGATTTTCCATAGCAAAACTAAGAAAATTCTCAGAGTTATGAACCAATGAACCAATGCCACGGGAAATATGGGTGCAAAGAAGGTCATTCAGAACCTCGAAGAGTCTTCTCTCATTGGTTTTCTAAGCCCTGTGAGCTGTGGAGACTGGACAAGAAGAGTCAGCATTTCTTAGAGATGAAAAAATAAAAAAAATTCCTCAGGAGTGTAGAACATCTAGGGACATGTTTGCAGTAAAGTTTTTTTGCTACTCCTCTTTCCAAAGCAACTACAACAGAAAGAACACAAAATGAATCAGGAAAATATTTTCTTGTCTCTGGCAAGATGCTCTAAAAACAACTGTGGCAGCCCTAGATAATTGTGGTTAATGCTTCAAGATGCTTGTCCAAACATTACTGCTTGTTCTCTACAATTTAGATCCAATTTTCAGGCATAGAAACTGGCCTACAGAGGTCAAGTTCCCAAGTTAAGCAGCAAAGAAATCGTAGAGCTTGTCAACAACTAAGTCTTAAGCAGGTGCCAGTGTCTCACACCTGTACCTAGCTACTGAGGAGGCTGAGATCTGAGGATTGCTGTTCAAAGACAAGCATGGCAGAAAAGTCTATGAGACTCCATCTCTAATTAGTCAACAAAAAGCAGTCCTGGAGGGATGGCTCAAGTGGTGGAGTGTCAGCGGAGAGCAAGAGAGCCAAGCAAAAGTATGAACCTCTGGGTTGGAACCATGGTACTGACATAAAAACAAAGCAAATACAGAACTGTGTTTGTGGGGGCAAGGGGTAATGCTGAGGTTTAAACTTAGGACTGTATGCTTGCTAAAGAAATATTCTACCACCAAGCTACACCTTGCAGCCTTTCTGTATGCTGTGCTACTCTTTGTGCCCAAACACATGCATGGACCATAATCCATGTATTTTAGGCTTTCTGTCACAGGTAGGATGACAGGGACATACCATCGTATCCAGCGTCTTTCTGTAGACTTTTCTGCCTGGGCTAGCCTGAAACTCCAATTTTCCCAATCTCAGTCTCCCAAGTAGCTAGAATTACAGTTGTGAGCCAGTGGCACCTGCTAAGTGTTCTATTTCTAAAATAATTCCCAATTACTTAAATGTTTCTCTGTCATCTGCATCCAGTCATTATCTATCTGAGGTTCTCACCATATACATCGCCCTGTGCTAGGTGCTTCATATGGATAGTCTCATTTAATCCTCATCATTAGTGGTATAGAAGCATGGATTTATATGACATAAGTAATGGTAGGTGCTATTATGCTTCCAACTTTAAAAACAAGGAAACTGAGAAGCAGAGAATTCAAAGAACCTGAATGAGGCCAAAGACCCCAAGTCTGGCTGACTTACTTGTGGTGTTAGATCTCAGACACAAATGACTCTCATTGTGTATAGTTCATGTCATCAACAGTAGTGCCTGGAGAAATCTGAGATTTGTCCCCATGGGTGTGTGTGTCTGGATCTTTGGTACAAACATGTCTTGGCTTTTATCTAGTCAGACTGGCCATTCCCAAAGTATTTTCAGGATGAAGGAAGATGGGAAATTGGAAGGAGAAGCATGTATGCTATTTCTAGCCCTGGTGAGCACCTCTGTATCTTAAAAAAATTATTATAAAAAGTGATGTACAGAGGGGATGCAGTTACATAAGTCAGGTAGTGAGTATATTCCTTTTTTGAACAGTGTTACCTCTTCCCTCATTTTCTCCCCTCCTAACTCTCTCTCTCCCACAAGTTGTATAGTTTATTTTTGACATGGTGTTTAGTCACTGTATCTCTGCTGAATTAGTTTACCCTTTGTCCCACCATTTCTGTGCTCTGATTGTATCTTGTGGCACCCAAGATACAATTATGTAGATAATTTTGTGCAAGAGAGGAGAGGGCTGTTTTTAAGTCCTCTCTTGATGAGAGAAAAGAAATAAACATATTGGTTGAAATGAATACTAACCTTAGTTTGATCCAGGAAGAGAAATATTTGGTTGTGAATAGCTACTGTAGTAATGAATTGATGCAGTTAGCCTTATAATGAGTTTGCTTTAGAGATTTTTGTCTTTTGCTATCTGACCATCAGCTGAAGACCCCAAACCTCAGCCAAGGATACTAAAATTCAAGTCTAACTTGTCCTGGGGGATTTACTTTCTTTCCTGAAAGATTTCCGAACTGCAACTTTTTGCATTGTTTGCAATTTAGCATGGAGATTCAGTTCAGAAGTTTGAGACCATTTTTTTCTCTTTTATGCATTATTGCTCCCTCTCCACCACTTACTTCCACAGCCTGAAGCTAGTTTTGAAATAGAGAGTTTGATTTGCTTGAAATGGAGACTGGTTGACTCATGGGGTTGAAAATGCTCAATAGGAGCACAGACTAAGAGACATGGCACTCTGAAGAGGTTCAGCAATGTCCCTTTGGAGAGGTACAGGCTGTTTTGTTTTGGTTTTTTAATGGGAGAGACAGAAAGATCCAGCCCTAGGGCATGGAACACCCTTCAGAACTTGGAGTGGTGGTAGAGTGGGGTTCAGAGACAGGGGCATAAAAATTCTTCTTCAATTCCTTGGCTCCAGCTAGGGATAGCTAGATGAGATGCAGCATGGGCAGTGTGCTGGGGTTGGGGTTGCAAATAAGGCAGAGGCACTGGCAGCGGAAGCCGCCCTCCCAACACTGATATACCCCCTCACCTGTCTTCACTCCACTACCCATGGAGTCAGATGCATTGAGGGGGCCTGCAGTGACCAGCGGGGGGCTGTCCGCTTGATTGCACTGGCCCTGTATTGAACCAGTGAATTCCAACAAAAGAGTAGCACTCTAAGGAAGTGGTGATGGCTGCCAACATGGAAACTATCACTCCTTTTTAGGAAGCATCTCATGTCTTAAAGGACCACCAAGGAACTGATTTACTTAAGTGCAGTGGTGCATGGGGCTGTAGCAGGTAATGCTGTGCATGTGGGAGTGTGTGCTCATATGAACACACAGACATAGGCTGGGGGAACTCAGGGAGCAGACGTTGCTCTGTTCTTTGTTTGAACATCTTTCTGAGTGGTTAAGCTTTTGTAGTCTTCTGGAAATAGAGGGCCAGTAATGCAGACTGGCTTTAGGGTCAACATGCCACCAGATCAACCAAACATTGATTGGTCCACCTGCCCAAACTGCCTGTGGAAGATTCAGACACAGGGATGGCTTAAAGAAGAAATAGAACAAATGACTAGGTCAAAAAGAGCAGTTTTGGCTTAGTCTCTTTGGGTGTTTCACGCTCTTCCCACCCAATAATGCCTCTTGGAAGTAGAGCCTTGGAGACAAACTTCTTGATCCTGTGCCTGTACAGCTGGGATCGGATAGAACAAAGTAAGAACCAAGTGTGGATTGTGACATTCACCTGTTAGAAAGTTCAGAGAAATATGTAGATCAGGGTCTCCAAGGGTATGAGGGCAGATGATTTCTCCTCATAGTTATACTGTTAAGAGGAAGCTATGTTCTACAAAGTCCAATGAGTTTGTTTTTGTTTTATTTTTTGGCCAGAGAAACTCCCATGTTGCAAGAATCCATGGCCCATGGTGGGGTGGGGGTGGAGCTTCTCATAACTTAGTTATTCTCTGTTCCCTTACCTCACTCTAGTTCTTTCCATACCTGGAAACTCAGACAGCCCTCCCTCCTCCTCCCAATGAAACTGTTCCCAAGCATCCCTTACTTCCCATTCAACTAAATATCACAGCTTATTAGGATAAAAATGAATTGTCATCTTGGCTGCTCCACCGAGATCATGCACATGTCCATTGCATGGGGCTGTGGAGGGCTCACCATTCCTGGCTGCCTCTTCCTTTTCTTTTTCTCTGGAAAAGTAACCTGGGATTCTCAGCTCTGGGGATCCCAATAGCCCTTCTGAATATTTACATAATGATTTTAAAAGGCCTAAGTGGAGTCTGGGTCTCTACCCAGGGCATTTCTAGACTAATAGATTTATCTGAGCAGTTTTGTCCTGAAAACTAGTTTGTAACAAGAGGGAGCATAAGGTACCTGGTAACTTTTCAATAAGAAGACAGTTGAGCCCATAGCTTTCCTTCACCAGAGCCTTGGCATTTTCCTGTAACTTTACATTTGCAAGTCTTAAATCTACTACTTAAATAGTTCAGTCTTTATTATTGAGTCTTCCAATGGTCTTTCCTGCCTCTGGGGAAAAATGCTAGCCATAAGGAGATTGTTTGTTTTTAGGGTGAGGATTGTCTGGTCTTAAAGCCATCAAATCTATAAACAATGATAAATTAGTTCCCATAGAGAAATCCATGCTAGGGATAAATGTTGAGCTGTGGCACAGATTCTCTCTCTCTCTCTCTCTCTCTCTCTCTCTCTCTCTCTCTCTCTCTCTCTCTCTCTCTCTCCCTCCCTCCCCCCTCCCCCCCTCTCTCCTTTTGCCCCTCTCCCAAGTGAATCTATTGTTCTTTATCAGACAGTCTGGTGGTTAGTTTCTAGAGAGTCTCTGGAGAAAAAGTCTTGGTCTCCCAATGAAGTAGAGAGCCTCTCAGCCATCAGGGGGACCATTTTTGGGAAAGAACAGAAAATGGTATGATCAACATTCAAAATTAACCCTAGCTATTCGGGAGTATGAGAGCTGAAAATCATGGTTCAAAGCCAGCGAAGGCAGGAAAATCAGTGAGACTCTTATCTATAATTAAACTACCAAAAAGTTGGAAGTGGAGCTGTGCCTCAGTGGTAGAGTGCTAACCTTGAGCAAAAAAGCTGAGGGATAGCACCCAAACCCAGAGTTCAAGGCCCAGGATGAGTGCAAAATAAATAAATAATTAGCAATGGAACACAGATTGGTTGTGAACATTCCCGAGAGCCTGAATTTGAGGCCAGAACTACTGTTAACTAGCCAGGTAACCTTGGATAAACCAAATAGCAACTTCCCGAGTACCTGCTGCATTATTTATGATATTGGAAAAATGACACTGGCTTTGTCTCCTTCGTGAGGGTGTTTGGAGAGTCAACTCAGGTCAACGTCTGCATTATAACAAATGCTGGGCTATTTCAGTGTGGATGGAAGGCTGATATTCTTTGCAATTTCAGGCAGCCTTTCCCTCACTTACCATTTTTCTGTGCTTTACCCAATCCAATTTTAATAAGATGTATTTATCACTCTCTTAGGAACTTTCCATTTTTACATTGCTTCCGTTTACCAAACGTTTTTTGTCAGTCCTTTACATTTGAAGGCTCTCTTTTCCTGAATGAATTTCTACTGTTAGAGGTGAGCTAGAGAGGCACCAGGAGGAAGTGGCTCCCTGAGTGCTTTGAGGTTATACTGTGCTTTGCCTAGTCTATTCATAAGCTACACTAGCCCTTCTCTACAGCTACCACATTGCATCCATGTTAGGATGTGCTATTTTGCTTCATTTGTCCCTTTCAACGTCTCTGAAATCAGAGGCCTTATCATCTTTACTACGTCATACTTTAATTAGTAGTTATTTTTTTTCTTTCAGTGATTTATAGAAGAGTAGTACGCCTCATAATCAAGGGAGTTGCATTGAGAGCCATGACTATTCTAATGGATAACATGACCAGAAACAGGAATTATTACGGAATGAAGAAGAAAGATTTCCACTGTCACAAGATCAGGAAATAAGAATCAGCAGCCAAGAAATACCTGAATGTTTGGATTTTGCCCGTTGATATCCGCTTTGGAAAGATCTGGAAAGTTTGGCAGGTCAAGGAGGAAGGGTCTGGGGCCATCTCTCTGCAATGAAGGGTGCCCAGTCTCTTGGGAGAATCGCTGTCTGGGGAATGGTGGATGTGCAGCCTGGTGGTCCGGATGCCCTCCTGGTGATTCTTTGGAGACAGAAAAGCTGGTTTCTGATGCAGAGTCACTCTCCAGGTTGAGGTTATTCTAAAACAAACACATAAGCAGATGAACATTAAGTAGGAGGCACATGATTTAAATTGCCTCTTAACTCTGTGTTGAGGTCTGGAGCAAGGGGAATTCCAGTGGCTGGATTAAGCCAGCATAGTACCCCAACTCAGTTTGCTATCATATGGTTTAGTTTCTCTATCTTTAGAAAGCCAAATTATCAGGAAACTTCTCCCAGTTTTCTATGCAGGAATTTTTTTTCAGTGTTAATGAGTTTTGTACTATTTTTCTAAGCACAAAAGTACATTAAAATGAAGGGGCTATTTTGAAGGAGAATAGCTGCTCATTTAAAACTGGAACCAAATTATAGTTTCCTCCTTACAGCTTCAACCAATTAACCATCTTGGATTTTGTTACAGTCTTAGTGTTCATTTGCTTTTTTAAAATATGGGTAATGAGGAGAAAAATAGGACAAAATTAGGTAAAAACTTAAGGCAAACTGTTGATTATATGCATGCATTCATTTGTCTCACCATTCATCAATTCATTTATCTATATGTCCATCTACCCACCCATCCATCCTTCCCTCCATCCACTCCATTCCTCTGTCCATGTATCTATTCATAGCTGCCCATCCATCCATCCGTCTGCCTACCCTTCTATGTTAATCCATCCATCCATCTGTCCATCCATCCAATACATAAATGCGAGGCACAGGAGAGGTATCAATGGATATGGCAGACATCAGACCTGCTCTTTTAGAGTGTACATCTACTTAGGAGAAATAAATAAAAGACAGTTAAATAAAAGTAGATCAGATTAGAAACTAGTGACTGCTAAGAATGAAGGAAAGACAAAATGACACAGAAAACAGTAGATAAGCAGACAGAGAAAAATCTCCCTGAGATAGTAACTTCTAAGACAAAATCTGAATGAGGGAAGAAGGCATCCTGCAATGAGCTGGGGGAGGGATATTCTCGCTAATGTAATAGACAGTAAGGAGTGCTAGTACAGTAGGAATTAACTTAGATATGGAGGATGAGAACAGCCAGGAGGCTTGTAGATAGTGAAGAACCACGTTGAGAAGATGATGAAGATAATGGGAGAGTTTGTCCTTAAAAGGGATTAAAGAAGCCGGGCACCGGTAGCTCACACCTGCAATCCTAACTACTCAGGAGGCTGAGATCTGAGGATCGCCATTCAAAGCCAGCCCAGGCAGAAAAGTCTGTGAGACTCTTTTCTCCAATAAACCACCAGAAAACTGGAAGTAGCACTATAAGCTGAGGGACAGTGCCCAGACCCAATGTTCAAGCACCATGCCTGACTAAAAAAAAAAAGAGGGGGGTGTTAAAAAAAAAGGCATTTTAAAATGTCTTGTCTTGATTTCTTAAAGGGCTAAAACCCATCTTTTTAAGCTAGTGAAAAATACTTCTATATTCTTATCATTGAGACACTTTTTTTTTTTTTTTTGGTCCGGTCGTGGGGCCTGAACTCTGGGCCTGGGCGCTGTCCCTCAGCTCCTCAGCTCAAGGCTAGCACTCTACCACTTGAGCCACAGCGCCACTTCTGGCTTTTTTCTTATGTGGTGCTGAGGAATCGAACCCAGGGCCTCAGGCATGCAAGGCAAGCGCTCTACCACTGAGCTACCTTCCCAGCCCCTGAGACACGTTTTACTTTAGTTATTGAAGTGTAGAAGTTGTTGGGCTCCTTCCTCAAAGCAGCTTTCCCCTCTGCTTGCTCTCCCTGCTCTCCCTGAATCTCTCAGTGGAGGCATCTACCGTTCCTTCAAGGATGGCATTTTCATGTTTACTGGTAGAAGAGAATGTGGAGATAGAATTTCACCAGCATTTGTGTCAGTGGTTAATGCTCTTGTTATTCTTGGGCCCATTTTGGGGTCTGGGAGTTCTATCCCAGTACACTGTCTCCACATATACTCCCCGCCCCCACCGCAGTGCCTTCAACCCAGCCAAATGGTTCTATCAGCTATCAAAACACTCATGGCTCTGGGTGCCCAAGGTCAAGAACAGATCAAGGATGAAACCCAGTCAGCTCACCTTGTGAATGCTTTGAAGAGGCCTAGAGGACTGGCCAGAGATCGTGTCTGCCTCCTCTTTAAAACATGCAATGACAAGGCAAAGCTCGCCACGCTTCATGTTTTTGCTTGCCTTTCCATTTTGCTCAGGAGATGTAGCCAGAGGCATTGTCTTTGTTCACCTTTCCAGCCACCTCTCTGCCATGGTTTTGTGTCTTGGCACATCCTTGCAGAGGGAGTTGCCCTGGCATTCAGAGGCATTGCTCAATACACCAAAGCCGAATGCATCATTCCTAGACTTTGAGTCCAGCAGATGTCGATAGGTAAATAGATAGAAAGAGAATTCTACATCTTTCTTCAGCCCAAGACCTCTCTATCCTCTATATTCCCCACCTGAAAGATAACTGACTGCACTTGTTTTCTTGCTTTCATTCCCGGATATCCAATCTTTAAACCTCTTCAACAATGTCTAAAGGATTCGTCTGGAGAATTTCTTGCTCAGGACTCACAAATCCAAATCCAAGAAGGTACCCTAGTATATGTTCTACAAATTCTTGAGGGATTTCTGTAGCTCAAGCCTTAACATCATTGTAGTAAATGAGACATATTATTGGGTTAAAAATGGAACCCTTCTTTCTCCTAAATGAAGTATTCTTTCTATTACTAAAGCCTATTTTAGAAAATGAATTTTTGCTGCTGTGCAATATTTTGTTTAGATATCTGAACAAACAGGGATTGAGTCTGATTTCTCGAGTAGACTCCTTTTTCCTTCTTGGAAATCCTCTACCCTAGAGTGACAAACAAGTGAACAATCCAGAATGTTTTAGGGATTAATGAACCTCCATGAAAAGCAGAGAGGATAATGAGTGTCCCATACCATCTGAGCAGGATGGATAAGATAAGTCAGTTGTGTTGTGTCTATGCAATAAAACAGGAGTTCAGACTTAGGGTATTGGCTGGGTAATTCAGGCCACAAGTGCTTCTGCCGGGAATAGTCAGAGGACTGGGGCTTGAGTATGTTTTGGCTTGAGTTATGCATACAATTGCAACATTGCTCCATCTCTTCCCAAACTACCCTGCCCCCTAACACCAGCCCAGTATTATGAAGGCATTTAGAAGACGGGAGTAATAAAAAAATACAAATCCCAATTTATGAATAGCTGGATTACTCTTGGACCTCTTCTACAACATAGTTAACTGGGAACCTTGGCTCCCTGAGATGCCAGGACCCCAAAATTATTCAGAAACTGGAAATCATGGGGGTATTTACAAATGAAAATAAAACTTCATTTTATCCAAGCAATAACAATACTTGGGAGCAGCCATTATTTTGGTAATGGTTAAGAAGGAAGACAACAGATGGACCCATTAACAACACAAGAAAAGACCTTTCTCCTGAGAGAAAGACCTTTTTCCTTAGAGAACATACTGTACAACTTCCTTCTACAAGTTCATAGCCGGCTATATAAGTTGTGACTAGCTGATGCCTCTTCTGAAGTCTCTGGGAGGGTCAAACCAGCCCTGATAGTTTGTGGAATAGGGCAAGTGGCTATTTGAAAGATGGGATGACAATACTTAGCATAGTTTTCCCATCACCCATTTCCACGTCTTGATTTTCCCTCTCACTAATTTGTGGTCATCCTTATTTTATCCTGCAGCTTCAATAGCCAACAAATCCTTTCCTGAAGTGGCAGAGTGACACTTGAGCCGCTCCTTCAGCTCCCTTTGGCCTTAGTTATTTTCTAGGTAGGATCTTGCTTTATGCCTGGGCTGTGATCTTCCTATGTGTACTTCCTTATGTCACTGAGGATGACAAGTGTGTGCCACGGTGCTCCCCTGATAGCTGGGATAACAGGTATATGCCATTGCACCCAGCCATTGGTTGAGATGCAATCTTATGAACTTTTATGTCTGTGGTGGCCTCAAACTGCAATCTCCCAATCTCTACATCCCAAGTATCTAGGATTACAGACTTGAACCACCACAGGCAGCCATTTATGCCCTTTTTAGGCTGAGTACATCACTGGTCTGGGCTTATCCAACTGCACATTGTGGCTGTTCTTGTGACCAAGGTGGATTACCACAACCACATTAAGGGTCAGAGTGGTCAGGATGGCCAGAGTTTCCAGCTAGTACTTGGCACAGGGATAGGAACATGGTGGAGAAAGAGGCTTGTTGGGTATCTAGGCTGCAAGACAAATTAGAATGACCACATAGATGGGTACCACATAGGTGTAGAAATGGGTGATGGATCCATATTTGGGAAAACTATGCTAAGTATTGTCATTCCATTCTGCAAATAGCCACTTGCCCTCTTCTGCAAATATCCAAGGCTGGCATAGAAGAAGGTCTGGTTTGACCATTCCAGAGATTTCAGAAGAGGCATAAGCTAGTAACAAATTATAGCTGACTAGGACAGAATAAGTCCTTTTTCTTTTTAAGGCTGTGATGACTTTTCCCAGATTAACACAACAAGGCAGACTTCTTGGAGGCAGACTGGATGGCAAATTCCTGCAGGGCATAGAAAAGGCTGTATCTGCAATCTCTGAACACCGCATCCCCCAATTCCATGAGCTCAGAGGGAACCCAATAAGTATTAGTTGATGATAATGATGACTATGGGCCTTGTTAGACTTTGTTTTAATTAGGTTCAGGCTATAGGCCTCATTACCTCTAATGTGGCTTTTATGTGGGACTCTAACAAAAAAAATCAGACATCTTCTAGTGAAGATATTAAAGAAGATATTATTAGCAATGCATTCCGCCTCATAGTCTTTGAACAACAAACAACAGAGATTATAATTAATGTTACTGCAGTCTCTCTCCTTAAAACATATTAACAATATAGTTAATTAGCAATATGTCCTCATTTGGAGCTGGACATCTGTACATTATTATCAACAATGCTTGTTTCCTTTCTCCAGATTAAAAGAAGCCATACTGCACCCAGGCATGTGGCTGTTCTTCTATATTAAAACAGTTTTCTTCTACCCATGATAAATATCCT